CCCATGGGTGCTATGGCTCATTGATGTGTTTCATAGCTCCTTATCGCCAAATAGCCATTCCTCTACTTTGTTGGAGTAGGAAGTCCTTTGTTGGAGTAGGAAGAACCCAGGAAGTATCACCTTTGTGTCTGTAGGGAGCACCAGTATGGAAACAGCTTCTTACAACTTAGGAAAACACTTGGCTTGGAAATTAGTAATGTTTTGTTGAAACTCCCAACATTTTCAGTGTTTTCTGACTGAACATGGTCCCTGTAGTTGCCATTTGGTTGTGGTGCCAACAAACCATTCTCAGAATTTAGAAGTGTCCATAGGCTCAACCATAGAAGTGGTTGACCACAGAAGTGTCCATAGGTTCAACTGTATTAGGGATAGCAGTCTATGGTCCAAGCAACGTGTGTGTGTGTGTGTGTGTGTGTGTGTGTGTAAAAAGTACCATCAAGTCAAAGCCAATTTACGGCAATCCTGTAGGATTTTCAAGGCACGTGAGTAAGCAGAAGTAGTTTGCCATTGCCTTCCTCTGCAAAGTCTTCTTTGGTGTTCTCCCATCCAAGTACTGACCCTGCTTAGCTTCCAAGATCTGACAAGATTGGGCTATACCATGTCTTACATGTGTGTGTGCTGTCATGTTGCAACTGACCTATAGCAACCTCAACAAAAGGGTTTCAAGGCAACTGGGAAGCAGAGGTGGTTTGCCATTGCCTTCCTCTGCAGAGCCTTCCTTGGTGGTCTCCAAGTCAAGTAATGATTCTTCTTAGATTTCAAGATCTGATGAGATCGGGCTATACCATGCTGCCTTCCATTTAATCCTTAGATAAATATCAAAAATAAATGGTTAGGGGGAGCACATTTCATTTTAGGAAAAATGAGGTGATGATAGAGGCTTATAAAATGATCCCTGCCAAGAAATGCAAATAATCCTTATAAAATGATCCTTGAAAAGAAATGCAAATAGAGCACAGAATATAAGAGGTTGGGGACACCAATGAAATTGATGGAGGCAGTAGAACTAGGACAGGCAAAAAGGGGAGGTACTTCCCTCAGTACATAATTAACTTGTGGAACTCACGACCACAGGATTTATAAAAGGCCATCACCCCAGGTGACTTTAAAGAAAAAGTTACATTCAGGAAAGGTAGGACTACCAATTGCTATCTGTCATGATAGCCTAATAGAATCTCTGTTTTTTGAAGTAGTATACCACTAAATACAAATTGCTATGGGTCAAAAGGCAGGGAGTGCTGTTGTCTTTGTGTACTGTTTCAATATTTCTTGGGGGGCATCTTGCTATCACTATTGGATCTTTGTGTACTGTTTCAATATTTCTTGGGGGGGCATCTTGCTATCACTACTGGAAGCAGCAGGATATTGGGGTGGATGGGACCTGTCCCCTAAACCAACAGGCCTCTCTTTGCCTTCTTATGTTGTTCCCTTTCCTCGGACTCAGACTATTCAAGCCTATCCAGGTGGAGGGTAGAAAATTCCCAAATGCAAGAGGAAGGAAAAGATCACAGTTATAATTTCATGCTAACAAGTTGTTGGGGTTTTTTTGCTTCTTTTCACTAGATCTATTAGAAGGAGTCAATATCACCAGCCCAGTGCTTTTAATTCATGGTACTGTTGGTAAGCCTGCCCTCCTCTCCGTGAAATACACCACCGCCAGCAATGATAAACCTGTGATCAAGTGGCAAGTGAAGCGGGACAAGCCTGTTACTGTGGTACAGTCTATTGGCACGGGGATTATTGGAAACCTGCGCGCAGACTACAGGGATCGGATTAAGATCTATGAAAATGGCTCCTTGCTGATCAATGAACTGCAGTTGTCTGATGAGGGCACGTATGAGGTGGAGGTCTCCATTACGGATGACACCTTCACAGGGGAGATGAATATTAACCTTACAGTGGATGGTAAGTGTGACTTTGGAAAAGTAGTGTTCTTTATCCAGGAGGTACAATTTTATCATATATATCATGGGATTGTAATGGAATCTGGCTTTTTTTGTAGCAGGAACTCCTTTGCATATTAGGTGACACACCCCTAATGTAGCCAATCCTCCAAGAGCTTACAGTAGCCCCTGTAAGAAGAGCTCTGTAAGCTCTCAGAGGATTGGCTACATTAGGGGTGTGTCACCTAATATGCAAATAGGTTCCTGCTATAAAAAGAGCCCTGGCAGACATAATGTTTCTGACCTTTTAATGTTGCACCTTGCTTTTGTACTGATGAGAACAGGTTCCAACCTCTGTTGTCAGATTCCGAAACTCAGTTCCTAATTAAAAGTTGTAATGTTTTGTGCCTGCAGTTTTAAAATGCATGTAGATTGTGGTATGAAATTATTCAGATCGGTGTTGCACACCTCGAAATCTCTGTCTAAAGTTTCCCATATTTTTTCATTGTTGTCCAGACCTTTTAAAAATCTTTCTGGAGTTTAGAGAGATATACGTAAGACTCTCCTTTTTCATCTTTTCTCTGGCATGTAAATGTGTGTTTGCCAAATGGATTAACATTATATAGGTATTTCAACGCTACCCACTTTGATAAAGGTATACACGAAATGAGATGTAATATGCATGGTTCGTTGGTGTTGATGGCGGTTGAGTTGCTTCCAGTAAACTGAATACTGAAAAAGGAATTTACAAGTTGGTGAAGAACCTTTTTTTTGGCACTCTACATCACGGTTGTTTGCTTCCTTTCAACCACCTGGAGGCTGGCCACCCTAGTAGAACCCCTGTGCATTGAAGGACATTCTGGAGTGTACTCTAGAGCTCGCAGACAGTTTGCACAGAGGTCAGATCTTGTTGGGTTGCCCTCCTGGAACCAAAAGTGTCCCCAAGAATGCACTCACACTCCAAGGAAGCTGTGAAGCGCAGACAAATTTCAAGGTAGATGTGGTCAAGTTTTCTTCCACCATTAGTGATTTTCCTTTTGAAGAGCCCTTGCCAAGCACCCATAAAGCCCGATTCCCTGGAACACATTCTGAAAAGCAAGCAAGCTCTGAGTACAGGTAGCTACTTGCTGGGGAGAGGTCATGTGCTGTCCCAAACAGCGTTTAACTTTAGCTAAGTAGAACTGCCATATATCTTTAAGAGAAGTGGCCTCTGGGAATTGAAGTCTTTAGTTAGACATCCAATAGCATTCCTGTAACTGGCTGATCAACAGTCATTTCCGGCTCCCAGAGACGCGGGGAATTCGAGCTTTACAGCCTTCTTCCGTTCCTTTGTCTACACTTTAAACTGCAAGGAAGGCGGAGCACACTATCTTTTTCACCATGAGCCAGAGACCGAATTAGATCACCAAAGATGTAAGTAAGAACCCTCCTGAATGCATGTGAAAACTGAATAAAATGATTTAATTCTTCATGAACCTGGCTTGTGCGTTGAATCACGTCCAGAAGGCGTTCCTTAACAAAGCGTCAGACGGAACAGGTCATTAAAGTTGGGTTTGTTTGTTTGTTTCCTGCCGTGTGGCAGGGACCAAAGTTGGGTGTTTTTTTATGTTCTCTTTGCCAAGAATTAATGAGGGGTCTTCCTTCCTTCCTTCAGTTCCCATTTCAAAGCCTCATGTTGTTCTGGCTTCCTCCACTGTACTGGAGCTAAGTGAGTATTTCACGTTGAACTGTTCGCATGAGAACGGCACCAAGCCCACTTACACGTGGCTGAAGGATGGCAAGCCGCTCAGCAACGACTCCCGCCTGATCCTCTCCCACGACCAGAAGGTGCTCACCATCACCCGAGTCCTAATGTCCGATGATGACACATACAGCTGTCTGGTAGAGAACCCCATCAGCAGTGGGCGTAGCATCCCCATAAAACTGACCGTGTACAGTAAGTACATCCCAAGCACAGAGATGCATAAGGGAGAAGGTGAGGGAAATGGAGGAGCAGGAAGGGCCACGTGGTGTCAAAATGTCTCAGGCTTGGAAAACGAGAGGAAACCAGCTGGTCTTGTTGAATGAACTTGTCTGAACATTTAAGACTTTCAGATAGTGCAAGTGAATCAACATAAAGGGATCGGTGCTTGGGCTGGGAGGGATATGCTGTCCTCTTACATCATATTATATGATCCTCTCTGTACTCTCCATTTTTGGAAACAAGCAGACGAAACCTCTTTTGGAAGAATTGGCGCTTTCCAAATGCATGGTTCTGTTATGTAAAGCAGCAACCATTAATATGTTTCCCTGAAGAAGGGGGTGGGAAGGATTGTCAATATGGGATTTAGGAAATTCTGGCCCAGCTGCCTCTATGGCTGAATTGCTCCGCCGTCTATTTCTTGCCCATCAACTCAGCCCTCCCTTTATTTCCTTCACTGGCTCCTTCCAAATGCATGGTTCTGTTACATACAACGGCAACAGCGAATGTGCTCCAGAGAAGAAGGGCTTGGCTTGGGTAGGATTGCCAACATGGGATTTAGGACATGCTAGTGTGACTGCCTCCATGGCAGATTTAGTGCTCCCTCTGCAATTGGCCCATCAACTCAGACCTCCCCCTCTTCTCCTTTATTCTTTTCTCTCAGCATGAACCCTGACCAGGATGGTGGAATAGCCCTTCGTCCCCACTGCTCAGTTGTCAGAACTCCCTTCTTTTTGCTCACATTGCCTTTCAGGACACATACATACACAAAAGGTAGCTTTCTTGCCCCTTTCCTTCCGTCGGTGCAAAAGTCTGAGCTGACCCAAGGACAAGCCTCCTGGGCAGAATCCGGCAAAAATGGGCCAGCAACTTAGAAGTTCCATCACTTCCAGCTGGCAGCAATGAGACAATGCCAAAGAAGGAAGTAGGGTCTCCATGGCATCCTTTAAAGACAGTGGCTGTGAAATATTGCCTACAAAACCCCTGGCTACAGAGATAAATCAAGGGCAGGACTGGATCTGTGCAGACCGTGTCCAGATGGCGCCGGCTGCTGAGTGCTCCAGTATTTCCTTCACTGGATTCTCACACAAAGAGTAGTTCTGTCTCCTGAAGGAAAGACATTTTGTTGACCGCTCCCCTCAACTGATTCGGCTAAGGGGGTTAGGATGAAGATTTGACATCCGATGCAGTTTCATCTCGAGTTAAACAGGGTTTTTAGTTATGATGAGTCTACATTCTCTGGCTTAAGTAGTTTGTGGATCACATAACTAGATTGACAGTCTGCTCCATAGTTAACCGGTTCTCCTCTTTGGGGTCAGGGAGGAATTTTCCTTCAGGCCAGATTGGCCCAGGGATCCTGGAGGTTTTTTGCCTTCCTCTGGGAATGGAGCAGGGGTCCAGGAAGGTGGGGGGAGGAGGATAGTTGTGAATTTCCTGTATTGTGCAAGACATGACACCTGGGGTCCTTTTCTGCTCTATGCTTCTGTGTTTCCTCCATCACTGCAATCTGCCAAAATGTTAGCAAAGTTCAAGTTTTCAGAAGTTAATACATTATAGAAGAATGTAGCCATCTGGGAAATTTCATCAGTGGTGTGGAGTCTAAAAATCCAGTTTTGTGATCAGAAAGAATTATGCAAGCTAGGGGGGGAGAAATCTTTATAACCCTCAGTGATCCCTCCTTCCTGTCCAATGTTTTAATTTTTGTTTTTATATTTTTGTATTCATTTTAGCTCTGGTTTTGTTTTAGTGATATGGGTTTTTAATTCGTTTTAATGGTTATTAAGATGAGACCGACCACTAAGCAAAACTATCCAAATTGAGCTTTCCAACAACCACGAGCAATTTAGAAAGCTGCTATTTTTAAGAATACTTGATCAAGTATTCACACGGGCATTCCTTGGCCACGGTTTTCTATGAAATCATTCCCAAACAGGTTCAAGCATGCCATCCTGCAGAGGAAAATATCTTGCATGGATGCCTTCAGGGGGCTTATTTCCATGGCTCCAACATGTGCTACCAGAGCAAGAAGTTTGTCAGATCTTTGCTAAGCTGTCGGTATGAACTTAAGTTAATAGTTCTTCTTCCTTGACACTTGAGAGGAGAACACCTGGGAAAGAAGTGCGGTTCATGTTGGGGTAGAAGTGTGGCCAGGTGGAAGCAGAGGATGCTGTTTGGCAGGTCAGGGACATAACCTGGCTATATTTTGTACTTAAGGGATGCAACTTGATGGATATTGTAGCAGACCACATACCAAATACTCTCATTAACTCAAGGAGAAAACATCCTGGTCCTTGGTTCTGCCTCCTCAACCTGAAATCTCCTCCTGGCGTTCCTGAGAAGGGGGCTAAAACCTCAGGCCTTGAGTTCAAGTATTGCTTGTGTGAACCCTACTGATTTGTGGCTTGGACTTCTAACTCTAACTTCTTTTCTCTTTCTGTAGGAAGGAGCTCCCTCTATATAATTCTCTCCACAGGGGGAATTTTTCTTCTAGTTACCTTAGTGACCGTCTGTGCCTGTTGGAAACCATCCAAGAAGTATGTAGTTGGGAAATATCACCTTCAATAATCAATGCTTGTCTATTTACGCTCAAGTTGGCCAGTATTTCCCCTAAATATCACCTTCAATAATCAATGCTTGTCTGTTTGTTGTGCACGCTCAAGTTGGCCAGTATTTCCCCTGGTCCCACACACACAGAGTAGCTTGCCCTGCGTGATTATCCACGAAGAGTGTCCCAGAATTCCATGTGAGGGCACAGAGGGGCACTAACATCTTTGGCACCATCGCAAGAGGCTATGAGGTACAAGATTGCCAAGAGGGTTGGTGGAGGATTGGAGGGGGGCAAAATTCCAGCAGCCTCTGGAATGAGGCAAGTCGTGTGATTCATTTTCACATTATCTTTGATTTGGGCATGAATGATGTGAGCAGTGGGCAAAGAGACTCTTTTCTGGCAGATTTTGTGATGGGTCTAAACAGCCCTGCTGGGATGGAGTTCGTCATAGCTGTGTTGCCTGCAGGGGCAGATTGGCCGTTATGGCCACCAGGAGTTCTCCCAGTGGGCTAGTGCCCCTACCACCTGGGCCAAGCCAGGCCAGTGGCAGATAGGGTGTACCCAGCCTGCTCAAGCCTTGTAAAGTATGGGGGAAGCAATGACCAGCCCACCCAAGCTCCACACAGCCCGGGGGAGGTGATGACCAGCCCCACACAGCACATGGAAACAGATGCTCTGCTGGCTAGGCAGGCCGGCCGCCTCTTCTTCCCACCCTCCCTTGGGTGGCAGGGCTGTGGTGGGCTGGGGGACAGGGCCCCTTTCCCTTCCCAGTCCACTCCAATTGTCTGTCTAAGGAATGTCTTGAGTTGCTTGTACAAACAGGCCCGATCTGGCTGAGATGATGATGTCTTGGCTTTGGGCTATGTTCTAGTTCACTTCCTTACAACTTGTTTTTCCCTGTAAATTTCTAACAAAATGCATAAATGGAAATTGTCATCATCCATAGGACAAGAATTTTTCCAGGGCTTGGTCTTCCGGTTTTTGGCGACTTGCAAGTGGGTGCGCTCCATCATTGCTCTGATGTGAGCGGCCCGCAAACGTGCCGATGGGGAGGGGGTCCGAGTTGATCTTGGACCCCCGCAACCCTTTGTAGGAGGGTGGCAGCCTGGGGCATGAGAGGTGCCTCTCCCAAGGGAGAATGCCAAAGGATAGAAGCAGCTTTTTGCCCCGATAGGTCCTCGCGGCACGGAGCCAGCAATGGTACCTAGAGGCGCACACCGGATCGAGCATGCAAGAGACCCTCCTGAATTGATCTTCCCTACCACAGAAATGAATGCAAGTAAGAACGGGGGCAAACTTACAATTTAGCAAGTCTCCGCTTGATTGCTGGTAGTAAAACCGACCTGAAGCCCCAAACAAGCGGTGGGGGGGGAATCCCCATCCCAAACAGACTGAGTTAAAGTGGGAGGCAAGGGCGGCTTGAAAAGAGCAAATGGGGACCGAGTGAGGTGCAGATTAACAACAAAGCAATATTTCCAGATATAAAGAGGCTTTAAGAGACTTTTTAAAACTTCCTATTAAGTTTAAACAATGACGCAGCCTGCAGAAACAATAGTGGTGAAAGCGAAACTTACAGGCTCAGCCAGCTCATCATCTCCAGTTACCAAACCGGAAACAGCAACAGACTCCCCCAAAATGATTGCTTCAACCTTGCGCCCTCTAGTGGACCAAATGTCCATTCTCAACCAGAAAATGGATTTGATGCACAAGGAGCTTCAAGATACTTCAGCAAAAACAGAGAAGATAAATAAGAAGCTGAAAAAAGTTGATCTTAAGTCCAAAAAGTTTGAACAAAGACTGGAGGTGGTGGGAAAGTATAAAATCTCTGAGAATCACCAATTGCTCCAAATGGAAAAAAACAGCATATGTCCTGAGATTTCAGAACATTTCTGAGCAGAAAGGTGAAAACCTGAAAGAGATTTGAAGCAAAGAACTGGCCCCCGTGGTAGGCTTAACAGCAGAAGCGATACAAAACGACATGGATATAGTATACCGTTACATATCCAGAATATATAAAGAAAAATAAGCTGTCCGGGGAAATATTTGTTAAATTCTCAAAAAGGTCAACAAGAGACTTAATCCTGAAAGTGACAAACGGAACTGTTTTGAAAATCCAAGGGGAACAAACTAAAATTTTAAAAGACATTCCATTTGAGATAAGAAAAGAAGAAGAAGAAGACAGTACAGAGACCTGGCACGGTTTCTTCAGGAGCACAAAACCCCATACAAATGGTTAACCCTGGAAGGGCTTACTTTCAAATTTAATGGCAAAAAAGAAAAAATTGACTCTGTCTTCAAAGCGAAAAAATTTCTTGAGCACCAACAAGATAAAGATGGATCTGAGAAACTGGAGGACGACAAGGATGCAGAAAAAGAAGAAGATAAAACTGAGGAAAGTTCTACCAACTCTTTGTTGGCTGAATCCTTAGATTTTGAAGCAGAACTAGGGGCTACGGCTCCTAAGACCCCTAAAAATAAAAAGGACTTTGAAAAGAAATGTAGAGGAAGGAAATAAGTAAAATAATGAAACTCTAATGGTCTGATAATTATCAGGAACTAATAATCCTGAACTAAGAAGCATACACTCTAACCAAATTTGTTTGTGAACACTCGCTCAGTCTTTTATATAACTATTAACTCTCATGTATTACTACTTTAACAATAGGGAATTATCCTTACTTTAAACAAGAGTATTAACAATCTCTTGCTACTCGTAGTTTTAGCTTGTTCCCATCCCCAAACCCTATAGGTGTGTGTGTAGTTTAGAAAAGCAATAAAAATGTTTTTTTTTTAAAAAAAGAATTTTTCTGGGCTTTGATTATAGTGTGTTGTTTTAGATCAATATCTGTATGGTGAAGCTTATTGGGTATGCTTAATAGCTTATGCAATTTAATGCAGTTTGTATCGAAGAGTTGAAACGTATGCATGGTGATGCAAACAGGCATGTCTTGATCTCATGAATTTGGTTGGAACGAATTGCTAGTGTAATTTAACAGTCCTCAGTCTCGGACAGAGGAGATCCAGATTCAAATCCCAATTTTGCTATGAATAACCTTGGGCCAGTGCTCCCCCCCCATCTCTCACACACTCTAACCTACTTCACAGAGTTGATGTGAAGATAAATGGGGTAGGGGGTAGCCGTGTTTGCCCTTTAGAATTCTCAACCCTTTCCCCTGTCCTCAGATGCTTTTCCAGCTAAACATTTGCTCCCTCTGCAAGCTGTTTCTTTCCTCTCTAGAGAAAGGATATGGATCCCTCATGTCTGGCCTTTATGTCTGAGTTAGTGCTTGAGAAAACAGGTTCAGTATGCACAATCCACTGTGCAATGAAGCAATCATGTGGTAATTCCACATTTGCCACACTCCCATTCAATCCACTTTGGAGAGCTTTCTAATGAGATGATAAAATGCAGGACTGAGTTGCAAGCTGTGCATTGCAAGTGCATTTTTTCCTTGTCTTTGGGCAGCATTTTGGCAGAGGATGTTGACGATCTTGGTGTGTGTTTTTTTGCACCCCAGGAACAAACGCAAACTGGAGAAGCAAAGTTCCTCTGAATATGTGGATCAGAATGATGAGCATTTAAAACATGAAGGTAAACAAAGATCCCCTGGATACTGAATCAAAGACTAATGTCTTCTGTAAGAACTAATACTGTGTTATGTGTTTAACCTGGTTTCCTTTCTCAGCCATTGCCATTTATACCCTAATCACATGCGTATTTTAAAGCACAGAAAGGTTGTGTGTGATTGTCAGTCAGACGTGGCTACCGATTGATTCAGAAAGCACATTCAAGCTGTGGTCACACAGTCATTTTGATCAGGTTTCATCGCTGTTCCCTCTCGCATTTAAAATTGCTAATCAGACGGCCGTATCCGTCTCCCGCACTAAAGTGGGCTCACTTGCGCAACCCTCCCCGTTCCCTAGCAAGTTTTCCTACACCCGGAAAATTAAGTACTTTCTGGATATTTGCGCTTTGAATCCGCAATTTTGCTGTTCTGGACAGCCATTTCTTGCAATGATCGCGATTAGGTCATCTGAATGTCCTTCTTGCGATGTGTGTGGGGTTTTTTTTAACAAGCTTCCGTCACTGTGCACATGAGCAATCCCGCGCTGAATAAATTCAATGTATAAATGTTCAAGCGCACATATAGACTCCAGTGCTCAGTTGTACGTTGCTGGTTAATTTCATTTGCTGTTTGGGGGGGGGGGGACCCTACAAGAACAAGGGAGTACAGCGAGTCCCAGTGGGGGTGGGGATGGTGATTCGGCCATGTTATATGTGCATGTGCAAAGCCAATTTTTTTTAAAAAAAACAAGCCATGCCGCCCAAGCAACGGCACGGCTATCTGAATGGTGCCCGGAGCCTCGTTGCCCAATGCAAGTGGTTCAGGGAGAGATGTGTGGTCATCCCAACCTGAAAAAAAATATTCCAAATCGAATCTACAGTGGGAAAAAATCGCGGTAAGCTTGCCATGTGACCACAGCCTCAGAACTGCTTTTCTCTTTTTTCCATGTGCAACAAAATCCACCAGAGAAGGGCTGCCTCGTGGCCTGTATGAATTTGTCCTAAGGCCACCTCACGTCAATATTTCCCCACAGTAACTGTGACTGTGCAGGACATGAAGGGAAAAGGGGTATATTTGCCTAACTGAAACTGACTTGGTGCTCCAGTTGCTGATTCCATGTCTGCCATATGTGTTGATCCTGGTAGAGTATTTGGAGTAGTGGCTGATTAGTGTTTGCATCAGTATGACTCATGGGTGTCAGGCCAGAGTTTTGGTGATTCACTGAAGAATTGGGTTTTTGGGTGCCTTAAAGCCAGAGGATTTTCAGTGCAATCCTCTGAAGAATTACTCCAGTGAAGCTCCGTACTATGGCATTTGAAGGCAGTGGAAGCTATTTATCCCCCCCCCCCATTTTAATGTAAACAAAACATAAACACCAATTTCTGTTGTCCTTTGAATGCAGTTGAGATTGTTCCCCGGAGTGGAGAACATGAGCGGAAGAATCCAGTGGCATTGTACATCCTAAAGGACAAAGTAAGTGTCAAGTATTGTGCTTTGGGGGCTTCCTTTCAATAGCTTCTCTATTTTACACTTTTTTCTTTCATGTGGGGAGAGGGAATCACTTGGAAACCCCAAAGTTTCCTTTGTTTCTGAACCACACACCTTTTACTAGAGGGGGAGTATCTATTTCCGTTTCAACACAAATCTCTTTAAGTATGAGTTGGATTCTCATTTACCAAATGGTTGCCTCAGCCTTTCTGCCATGACTCACGAGTGACATCTGCTGCTAGAAATGTGTATAGCAGCCCACTGTGCTGAACACGGACCTACAGTTCCTATAAATGGGCCTTGCAAAGTCCCATTCCCCAGCTGTAAAATGAGAGTAATAGTAATTTACTATGCAGAATAGCTATGAGAGCAAGCATAAATTTTATTTATATATACGCATTATAAAATATATTTATAAATGAAGCAGAATCTTCTTTCTGTTTTAGGAATGGGCTTTTGGGGGGAGACGGGAAGGATGTGTGGCTCACACTCCTCCAGAGTGCTATTAGGGGCTTTATCAGGCCAATTCCTCCCTTTCTTTTTTGTTTTGCAGCTCAACTGTTGCTGGCATTCCATTGATGCTTAAGGGTAATGGCTCTGCCTAGTTCTAATGAGGCCATTTTGGGGGAGGGGTTTGTGAGGATTTTCATCTTTTCTAAATTTACAGGGTAAATATTTGTCTGCATGGCTGGAGATTCCACCAGGTGTGCAGAAAGACCCTCCTGATTTGCTGTTGTGATGGACTGCACTTTTAAAAACTTAGAAGTGCTGTGTAAACAGATAAAGGACTGTGAAAGGTTAATTCTTCACAGAGCCAGAGAGCCTTGAGTGACAGGCTGTTCCAAGAGATCTGATTGGTTAGCATCAGCTGAGCAGAGAAAGACTCACAAGGCAGTAAACTATCCCCATGGTGACCAGGCGCTGGGCAGTGGGAGACAAGACTTCAGATCTTGGAAGGGAAGCTGGGAGTCTTGACCCTCCCAGCCTGCAATTCCTTACAAAGGCCAGGTGGTGGTGGTGGGTTACCAGAGAGAGAGTAAAGCCTCTCCAGGGGTTGGGAGAACCTTGGAAGGCAGGAAATACCATTGCTTTGACCATGCGGACTTTTGTTGGCATGGTGATGTCTCTACTTTTTATCATGCTGTTTTATCATGCGATGGCGAACAACAGAGTACACGCTTTCAAGAAAGGTTATACTTTTATTGAAGAGCTATAGATGCATTAACATAGTCACTGTTAAGAATGGCAGTTGTCCCTTGGACATAATAAGATATAGGGCATTCGTATGCACCCCCCCCCCACTGCGCTGGCCAATTAGGCACCCTCCAGCACGTGGGCTAAAGCCAGCAAACTGTTTCTAGGTGAAGCTGGGAACTGTCCGGCTCCCACGGCTGCCTGGAAAGGCAGACAACACACACTCCCACCTGCACATCGTTATAGATAAGTGTTTCGGAGCAAAGCAGAGACAGGAATGCGAAAGCAATTTACACAGACTCTGACTGAGCATCCCAACCCCCATGGCAGCATAGCTGACACCACATCATGTACTGATTTTACCTCACAGCTATCTATATTGAGTTACCTCAGGAACTTTACCCCTGATTTCACCTGGCCTTTCCCCTCTGTGTTGAATAAAATATTTTGTTGATTTGGAATATAAAAACTTCTCGAGTGCCATTTAAGTCATATAAATTAAAAGGGGCTCTCATTACCTCCCTCAGGTTCCTGGGCTGAGCAACCAGCCAAAATATTATACTGTGGCAGGGTGGGACAGCCAGAGTTCTCCAGGAAAGAAGAAAACACATTACTAGGGGGGCTCAGTCACAGAAAGGAAAGGAAAAACTGAGGGAAAATCTTGCTTCTTAGGGAGGGAAGTGGACAGGGCCGTCATAGCTGCCTAATTAGAAGGGGCTGTTATAGTTAAGTGGGAGAATCTCTCAGGAAAATGCTCTGGGTTTGCGAGCGCTTTTCCTTGACTAGTGCAGTAGTACTTCTAAAATATAATACTATGCCACATTTTTTGATAAAATTCCTAGCAATCCCGATTAAGAGCAGGTTGATTTCAGTAGAGATGGAAGCGAAGGTTGCTCAGGCTGCAAAAAAAGCTGGCTGACTCCAGATCTGTTGGTAATTGCCCTTTCTCTGCATTCAATGAGGTCAAAGGGTTGGGTAAGTTCTGAGTCTCCCGATCACATCCTGCTACACAGAGAGAACCCTTTGACCTTACTTTCTCCCAGAGGAATGTTGTCAATCCATCATTTTACAGAGATACAGACAGTTGCTGACACAAGTGTTTAGATTCATTACTGTGCCATCATGTTTGATCTCACTTTCCATCATCTAAGAATGATTTGTACCCAGTCAGTTTAGTATTGATGATTCTATATTTGCGGTACACATTTAAGCCATGCCTTTCTTCCTGTGACTGTCTGTGTATCTCTGGGCCCATGTGCAACAAAAAAAGTATCGTTTTGCTTTGGGTTCTTACATAGAAACACTACTGCTTTAGGATTTCCCCCCCGCTTTTAAGAATGTGTTGAAAGAGGAGGAAAAAATTCACCCTTTTGCGACTCTTTCACCACCTGGATTGTGAATGCAAAGGGATGGTTAACGGGTATAATGGGATCACTGATTCAGTGACTTTAACTATGGACCTTCTGCAAATTTAGCTCTGTAGCTGCATCAGGGTCTTGAGGCCATCAGTATACTCTTCTATTCTCTTGTCATTAATCCAAGGTAACTACCAACCAATGCTTTTGTAGCCAAAAACTTTAACATAAATCAGCATCTCCACTTCAATTGAACCCACATGAAGCTGCTTTATACTGAATCAGACCATCAGGGTCGGTAGTGCCTACTCAGATTGGCAGCGGCTCTCCAGGGTCTCAGGTGGAGGCATTTCACATCACTTACTACCTGATCTTTAACTGGAAGTACTGGGGATTGAACCTGGGACCTTCCGCATGCAAATCAGATGCTCTGCTGCTGAGTCATGGCCCTTCCCTACATGCACTGAAAAAAGTAAGGAGACACCAGCCTTAATCCCAATTATTGTGCTTCAAACGAGTTGGTTGTTGGTGACTACTCTGTGTTACATTTGGTAAAGGAGAACTGTAGAATGGCAGTCTTACTGTGACATGAAGTACCAGAGAATTAGGGCTTTTCTGCATTTGCATTTTCCTCACTTGTGTGTTTCTGTTGCTTCAGGGTCCCGTCCCCCCCCCGGTTCTGCATGTGTTTTGCTCCCTCTAGTGGTTGATTTGATATTACATGACGTTATAGCCGGCATAGTTCCCTGCAGATTTAGGTCGAATCTGCATTTGTCTTTCCCACCGGTGTCCCAGCCTTCTGACACCATCTTTAAAAAAGCTGTCTACATTTGGTGTCATTTTCACACCTCAACAGTGCTAGCATACTTTTGCACGTCCGCATACGTTTATTGCCCTTTCGTGGCGGCTCCACTGTCATTGCACCTCTGCACTGCTTTAAAAGAATCTTCTCCAAACAACATTCAAACAAGCATAGAGAAAGGCAGAGTCACAGCAGCACAAAACTGATTTAAAAATGCAAATGCAGATTCGACCTTAAACCGCAGGTTTTTATGCTGGACATAGAGTGTTGTAATATCAAATTAACCACTAGAGGGAGAAAAACACATGCAGAACAGAGAAACACCCCCGAAGCCACAGAAACACACAAGTGAGGAATATGAGAATACGGAAAAGCCTTTAGGAAGTTGTGGTATAACCTGGGATGTGATTCCAAGTACTTGACTGGACAGAATGTGGTGTATATTGTGTACAGTCTTCTGGTTTTGTTTGCTTTTGCTTCCCAAAGGAATCTCCAGAAGCAGAAGAGGAATCCCTTCCTGATTCCAGAAATGCCACTGAGCCAGCACCACCCAGTTACTCCAGCTCCCCGCCTCCTCCTGGAAGATCACCCGGACCGCCCGTTCGGTCCGCTCGCAGATACCATCGCTCCCCAGTCCGGTCTCCAGCCACCTCCAGAACACACATATCACCCACCAGGTCCCCCACCCCGCCGGGGCGCACCCAAAACACCACACGCTTGGTGCGGACTGCTGGCGTTCATATCATCCGAGACCAGCAAGGGGAAACCAGCCCGGTGGAAATCAATGCCTGCGGGTAGTCGGCAGTGTATGTGCGGTGAAGAGGCCTCTCTCTACCTGTGAATGTTTTTGGGAGGGAGGGATAGCAGCAATGAGTTTGCACTGGGCATGTGTACATGAGAATGCATATTTCCTCAAAAGGGAAGCTGCCTGGATTCTGCTTGTAGCTATAAGTGAATCACAGTGTACCACTGGCTGGATGGACCCGCTTAAAAAAAAAAGTGTACAGTAGGTTCAACGCTTCCTGCTTCAATGTTTTTTTTCTTTAAGGCACTAACTTCCTATTCGTAACACCCATGGAGCAACACCATCCCGGTGTGACTAAAGCTTTAGCTTTTGGGGATGCCCAGCTAATTGTCTTAAAAATCTGATGTTTCTATCCAAACACTTTGAGATTTTGTGTACATTAGCAAAGCGTGGGAGACTGTGTCCACTGGGAGTGTATCCATCAGGCATGTGTCTCGAATGATATCTGTGTTGTCAAGGATGCCCTGATATCCATGTAATTTTTTTTGTAATGTTAAGATTACTCATTGGGAGGGAAGTTGGCATGGTGTATATAGCCTGATCTCAGAATCTAGGCAGGGTTGTTATTCGGATGGGAGACCACCAGGGAAGGCTTTATAGAGAAAGGCAGTGGCAAACCACCTCTGCTTCTCCCTTGCCTTTGAAGCCTGTTGTTGGGGTCTCGATAAGTCGATTGTGACCTGATGGTGCTTGTGTATGTACATAAGATTACTTTTTAAGCTTCGAGGAACCCGAACTGGTCTGCATGCTTGTTCTTTAGGAGCTGCCAGCAGCTCTTACTGACCCTGGAAGCCTTAAGAAGGTTCTTGTTTCAGGATATGATTGAGAAAATATATCCTATTTCAGGTATTCCTGATCCACCTCTACCTTTTCTTGCCACAGACACTAACGTCTATGAAATCACAATAATTCCACAAAGGACTCCCCAACCACCTCTCCCAGACAGATAATACAACAGCCAGTGTTGTGTTGTTTATTCTGGATTAACTTTAGTTGGACTTTCTGGAAGTGCGGTAACCCACACTGACCTGTGAATGAACGTATGCCCAGAAGTATGGACCTGGCAAGATTTGTTTGGTTGTCTCCATGCTTGAACACGTGTGTACATACCTCTGTGGGCCAAACAGTGTGCTTGAGGAGGCACACGTTCTCAAAGAGCTGGATACCAGCTTCTGAGATGGAAGAGCTGGGGGTCTTCTCTGTGCAATCCAGGGGAGAGCCACAGGTCAGTGGGAGAATGCACGCTGGGCATCTGTAAGGTTCCAGGTTCAATCCCTGGTGCCTCTCCTTGTTAAAGGTTTGTGGATTGGAGGGCTGGGAAAGGCCCTTGCCAGAGAGTACCTGCTGGTCGGAGTTAGATGTACTAGGCTAAATATATCCACAGTCTGACAGGCCAAGGCAGCTTCCTATGTCCACAAAAACCTATCTATGGCAAGGCTTTGCTTTACATGGCTCCCTTTGGATGTCCATAGCGAAAGGCACTGCTTGGCTCTAAGGAGTTTGTGCTTGCAAGCCAGGAATCCGTCTTGGGGATCTTCAGTGGCTGTAAAAACGAACCACACAGTCGTGTTTATCTGTTTTCCCCCCCTCCAGGCAGGAAGTGCCAGGGTGCAGGTGTCGACATGAATGAAATGCCAAGTTTGATATGTGCTTTATGGAATTTGTCAGATGGAAATAAGTTATCTATTGCATTAAATCTTAGTTAAGAAAGTTACCGTGAGATCTCTCTCTCTCTCTCTCTTTTTGCAGCTCATTGCTAATGTAGGAAAAAATGTTTTGTGTGAAGCGGGTAGGACGGAGGTGCTGCACTCATTGGCCCCATCTCGGTTGTGGCTCTGATCTTACAACATCATAGTCCAATCTATTTTGGGCAGCTTTATACTGGGAAAGGGTGAAAGGGAAGTTGGCAAGGGAAGTTGGAAGTTGCTGAACCAACATAATGTTGCTATCAAGGGTATCAAGTTAACACTGAAAAGGGAGAGAGCCAGTTTGGTATAGTGGTTAAGAGCGGGGGACTCTAATCTGGAGAACTAGGTTCAATTCCCCCCTCATCCACAGGAAGCCAGCTGGGTGACCTTGGGACAGTCACAATTCTTTCAGAGCTCTCTCAGCCCCTAAAAAAAACAAGTCTAGCTCACTATTTAGTGGTGCATCAACTTGTGGCTGCCAGACAATCCTAGGATCTCCTGGCTATACTACACAGAATGCTGTACCATTATTATTATTATTATTGTTGTTGAAAGGGGATAATATTAGACTGTGAAACTAAGTGTTTAGGACTGCAGTGTTTTTTTTGGCATAGGAAATATGGATTGTGCAGAATGTTGTTACCTTGCAGAACAGAAAGGCAAAAAGGAAAGGATCTTAGGAAAATGCCCAACAAGGTTAATTACAGCTGAGATATTTGCCATGTCAGATGAAGCAAGAAAGAGTTCTATGGCATCTCCAATTTATTACAGTGCAAACTTTCATATGGCAGAGAGAGTCTACGTTGGCAGATGCATGACACACCCATCTGAGTGGGTTGGCAGATCTCCCTTTGAATAATAGAAAAAGGAGGAAAGTCTTTGAACACTGTATGCTTACAAAGTGAGGCCAAAAAGTCAGCTAATAACAAGAGATGACAGTGAAGATATTGCAAAACACAGATGATTACTGAATCCAGTCATTTGAATGCAAGATCAATCGGCATAGGTAGATTCCAAAGTGGAAGAGTCAGATTACGTGTGACGATGGGGATCTATGATTAGAAGTACTGGCAGTAATTTTGTCTTTAAAAAAATCTGCTGGAGGGCTGCCCATATTGATCAGGGCCATGGTGCTGCAAAGAGGAGTTTAACACACACACACACACCACCATTTCCCCAGGTGAAGCTCCCCTGGCTCGAGTAAAACTTTGCTGGTCTTAAAGGTGCCACTGGACTCAAACTTTATCATGGCTCCCATTTTATTTCCACATCATCAAACACCCTGTAAGAAGGAAAGCTGGAAATTGTGCAAGGAACCCAGAATATGTATATTTTTTACAAAACCCTTGAGGCAATCCTTCTGCAAAAAAAAAATATCAGGTGAGATATACAATACAACTCCCTCTGAGCGATTCACTGCCATTCCCCATTGCTTTGGAGTCATGTATTCCTTGCCTACCTGCTAAGAATTCAAGGGACAGTGAAGGGACTGGGAAAAAGAAGGTTTCTTACACTTTGACAGCAGGTGGCAATGTTGCACAAACTGAATCCGCCAGGCACTCGCTGTGAGTTCCTTTCACAGCTTCAGAAACAGCTAGTGATAATCAGAACAAGAAATAAAACCCATGTAATACTTTTTTATTAGAGCCAACCAAATGACACAAACTGGCATGCAAGCTTTTGAACTCATCGAAACTCTTCATCAAGTTAGATGTTATTAAAAAAAAATTAAGTGAAGGAGGAGAAAAAGCTGATTTTTCCAGTTCAACATGGTCCCACGATCCTGTCTTGCCAGCCTCAAGTGTCTCATGCTGCTGGGCTCACAGCTGAATTCAGGTAGGCAAAAAAGGCTTTCTTATACTTGGCCGAAGAAGCAAACCATGGAAGGTCAGGTCCAGATGTCACTCAAAAACGTTCAGTCCATGATGCAACGCATAGACAGCTCTGTGCGCGTTTGTCTCCATTCTCCTCTATTCTGCTGAGCCAGGAAGCGGCAACAAAGGAGGATCTCAGGGGCAGGTTCAGGAACAGAGCCGTAGCCACCGTGGGATGAGCGGGTACACCACTCGACCTGGAGCCCTGTTCTGTAGTTCCGGGAGATCCCCAGGCCCCACCAGGAGGCTGGCATCCCTACTAGCTACTGCCCCACTTAAGGGTGCCAGGCTGCAGCAGAAAGTGACCTAAGCCATGTTCAGTGCTTCCACGAACTGCATGTCCCCAATGCTGTTGCACAGCCTCTTCAAACACAAGGCGGACTTGTACAGGATCATTCCCTGAACCATAGCCAGGACTGGGTTACCAGATGTCACTTCGCTGAAATTTTAAGTCTGTACATTTTCAGGTAGCCAAAAAAGGCTTTCTTATACTTGGCTCTTTGTTAGTGTCTTGCTCCGAATATGCTCCCAACTCTAAAAGGCTGCAGACCCCAGATGCAAACAGCTTGCATCTGGGGTCTGCAACAGGGTTAGAGAGGTTTCTCTTGGTCATGAGAAAACCACTGATTCTCCACTCATTTCCTGGGACCCCTGCAGCTGGTCTAGCAAGCAATGAAAACTGGCTTGTGACCCTTAGCATTCTTGGGTCAGGAAGCCTTAACATGGCGAAACAACCCTTACTGAACCGGGAACTTTTGTTGCTGTCTTGAGAAATCTCTGTGCGGCTTTTTAGAATTGGGAGCAGTTGGAATGAGGGAGAGGGGATAGGAGGAAGGCCTATTTCGGAGCACGTGGTGTGGGATGGCTTAAAATCCTTCTCCAGAGCATTCTGTTCTTCCAAGCTTAACATTCTTCCTGGGTACAATACCACATTTATTATCAGCCATAAAGGTGCAGTAGGGATCGAGATGATTTGCAATCAATGTTTAACACGCAGTGCTGAGGATAGGAAGCAATAAGCAATGGCCATGTGGGATATAGTCAAAGCGCATAACAATTATATCATTCTGCTTCTCTAACAGTGTAACAAAATGGGCTCCTGTAAAGAATTGGATGAAGTCTGTGTGCATAGGATAAGCTTCTATATGTTTGGCACACAGAAGGTCCCAGGCGCAGACTTTGGCATCTCCAGGTAAAAGGACCAGGCAGTAGGTGATGTGAAAGACCTCTGCATGAAACCCTGGAGACCAGCTGCCAGTCTGAGTAGACAATACCGACTTCGATGGACTGAAGGTCCCTGTCTGTGGAACAAGGCACAGGGATGCCTTGTTAAAAACGCATAAGTTGCTTGCTTTGTAGGATCTTCAGTACTGTTGAACCCTAAGGCCCTTGACATTAACCTGCAGAGTGGGGTATCTACTTTATAGTGCTTACTCGAGTCATCTGCCAAACTCTAGCCTTGTTCTCCTCACCACCATTTTATTCTGACAACAACCCTGTAAGGTAGGTTAGGCTGAGAGAGAGAGGCCATGAGTCATCCTGGGAGTTTCTCATCTGGATAGGGATTTAAGCTGGACTCGTGCTCGGTAGCTGTAGCAGCTCCAAGCACATCAGGGAGCTTTCCAAGGCCTTGCCTACCTTTCAGGCAATGGTGAGGCAGGGCTGATCTAATTAAAAACAAACAAACAAAACGGAGCAGCGGTGAGGCGGTGAAGTCCAGGAAAGGGTGAGGAGTGGCGAGGATCCAGTTTGGGCTGTGTTCGCAGCTAGAGGTGTGCCAAAAAAATAAAAATAAATTCAGCCCAATTTGGATTCGGCTGAATCGGGCAGAATCAATTTTGGCCTGCAGAAAGACTCCCGCATGTCAATTTCGGCAGTACCAGCCAATTCGGGAGTCCGCCGATTTGGGAGTCATTTTTCCCCACCATAGAAAACAATGGAGGGGATGGTGGCAACCTGTTTGGGGGCTCGTAGAATTGGACCCCCTGGTCCAATGTTTTTAAAACATGGTGGG